GCCGGGCCGCTCCGCAGCGGCGGGGGAGAGGGCCCGGGAGGCGGGCGCCGCGCCGCCCGCTGTCCTCTCCCTCGGCGCCGCCGCCGCCGCCGCCCGCGGGGCCGGGACCCGATGCGGCGGGAGCCGCGCAGCCTAGAGGAGCCGGAGCGTGAGTAGATGGCGGGGAGGGCGGGCTCCGGGCGGGCTCCCTTCCCCTGGCGTACCCGGCCGCCGCCCGGTCCTCCTCCATCGCGCGGGCGCGGGGCGGCCGGGGAAGGGCACGCAGGGCCGCGCGCCGCGGGGTCGGGTGTCGGCTCGCCCCGCCGCCCGCTGCCTCGTCGGGCCTTCCCCCCGGGAGCTGGGTGTCGGCTCTCGGGCGCGCGTCTTCCCCGAGCCTACCCTGCGCTCCAGGGACTGCGCGGCGGAGGCCGCCGCTCCCGGACGGTGTCACTCTCCGTTGTACGTGGGTAGATGGAGGACGAGCGGAGGGCTTGTGCAGCCTGCGTCCGTGGGGAGCAGAGTAGACTGCAGCCCTAAGCTCGTGCCTCCACTGCGCCTTTGTGCACACGCGGGGCGTGGGCTCGCGGGACCCTGGGGAAACCAGCTTGGGAAGAGCCCAGGTAGCTTAGGTCTGGCCGTTGCCACTGTAACTTTTCAAACACTTTGGACCATATTGGAGGCTAGCCTCTCAAGTATTTGTTGACATCGTGTGATGTAGAAGAACCTCTGTTTGATGGTGCATTGAAAGAAAAGTCCTGGGCCAAAAAATAAAAGACACTGTGTTGCTAAATTCGGACAAATCAAAACAGTGGGCTCCCCCTGCAACTGCAGTCCAAGAATTTGTTAACATGTCTGTGTGTTCAAGTTGTACGGTATTTTTGTTTTAAACTAAAGCGTTGAGTTCTGGTTGACAGCGTAGATCACGGTCTAAATAAACATCACGTGTTCTGGAAATTTTTAATTATCAGAGTAACTGTTCTGCAGTGTCATCAGTCAAAATTATCCGAAGGGTACGCTTGGTGTTGACGTATGGTTTTGTTTTTTGGGTTTTAGGTTTTGTTGATTTCTACTATTTCTCAACTCATGTTGTGGGACTTTTTAAGGAAGACTATAGGAAATATTCATACCTTTTAAAATTGTGCGTTTCTTCAAAATAGTGCTTTCCCATTTTTTAAAAAAAAAAAACCACAGAACGAGTGATTGAAACAAATGGTACCACATCAGAATAGTAATATCAGGAGGGAAATAAAATAACAAATGTTGCCGTATTTTTTTGGTGACAAAGCATAAAGCTTGAAAGCATTCCTGTCCAAGTGGAAAGAATTAAAAATGGACACACAGATGAAAGCGCTGAGTTTATCTAAGGTTTTTAAAATTTCAAGCAAGTTAGATGTAGTATTAAAGAAGCGTTATTAAGTACAGGTAACTGAGTGAAGCAGTGAGTTTGTGAGTGTATTCTCATGAGGCTCCACGTGTGGAAGTCTGGTAACCGCACCTGCGGGTCTTAGAGGCCTGGCTTCTTTCCTGCCATAAGGTCCTCTATCCCCAATCACCGCTCCCTTCAAAACCCATCTAAATTTAGAAAGAGATACTCATACAGAGTAGGCGCTGATAACTTTTTAAAGACTAACTGCCTTAGTTCCCTTTACCGAATAGAGAATTTAAACAGTTGCGGTCGTGTACCGAGCATTTGCTCTGTTGCTCTGTTTATTTGAAGAGAGCAAAGTTAATCCTGTTTGATCTCTTTAGCAGCTCGAGTGGCATTAAAAGGATCAGTTCTCTGTATTTTACTGTTCTATATCTCAAATTCCAGAGTGGGGGAGTCTTTAAATGAAGTGTTTATGAAATGTCATGAAAGATTTTCCCCCCACAAAAATACATACGATCTTCAAAATTACCCAGCCTCAGAAATTTTACAGTTTCATAGTTTCTTGTGAGGTAGAGTCAAGTAGGGTTTTTAAGAGAATCTCCTTTCTCTCTCTCTCTCTCTCTCTCTTTTTCTTTTAAACCTGTTCTATGTAGACAAGGCAATATCACATCCATAGGAAATGATATTTTAATCTGAGGTCAGATAGGTGGCAAGAAACCGACTCACTGAGCAATCAGTATTTTCTGACTTATTTCACTTCTACCTCTATCTTGTCCAGGTCATTGCTCATTTAATAGAGCTGGGAAACAGAGCCCAAAGAGGTTTAATTAAGCTCACCTTTTATTTTTCAAAATTGCAGTAGTAAACTAGGTATATTTCCAGGGTTTTGTGTGGTTTTGGTTTATTTGGGGGCAGGCTGTGTGGTTACTGCTGCTGTTACTGAGCTGGGGTCTTGCTGTGCAGTTTATGGCCTGGAACTGAGGTACTCTTGCCTTCACTTTGCCTGCCCTCTTAAAGCTTCAGCAGTGTTTTTCAGTCCTGGCTACACAGAGTCATCTGAGGAGCATTTTAAAATTTGTGATAGATTCCGATGTACTTTGTCCGCCATGGAACCAGACCTGTTCTGTTTATTTTGTTTTAAAGTTCATGAAACTCTGATGGGTAGGATTGTGAAGCCCTGTCTCAAGGGTCTGCCTGACCTGGTGCTTGTTTCTCTCTTGTCTCCCACACTTTATGCAACACTAGTATTCTCAGTTTTGCTTCCCTGACTCACTGACTCCGCTCATCTTTCACATTGCATCCTTTGAAAAGTGCAGTCTGGGTTAGGTGTCCCTGCTTCCTGTTCCCATGGCATCTTGTCCCTCACTGTAACCAAATTTCCTCACTGCATTGTCATCTGTTTGTCTGTGTCCTCTACCAGGATGTGAATTCCAAGAGGATGGGGACTTAGTCTGTCATATATACAGTCATGCCTTTTAGCAGTTATAGTAATACATTGTACGAAATTGACTGAAAAAGCCACTTCCATGATACTTCTTTACAACGTGGAACAATTCATAAGTACAAATTAAGTTTTTACTTCTGCCAAATGCACGTAACTTTTCCCCCTTAAAAGTATGTATCCTGCTTCTGCTCACATGGATTTCATGATTTGAGATCTTATAAATACAGCATCTGGATCTACTAATAGATCCACTAGACTAGAAACCTGGACATTTGAATGCATTCAGATTTTCCTTTCCCCCTGAATGTGTTTCTGGGTAAGTCTTGAACTCTTCAGCTTTTGTCATCCTCTGTCTCATAAAGACCGCTGGATGTTCGGTGATCTAGCCTTAAAATTCAGAGCAGCAAAGGCAGCCTTGAAAACTGGTGTGTTCTGAACTTGCTGCAGTCAATGCTCACTGGCAGAACTCTTTGGACAAATATCCTAAGCTCCCTGATGGGGTGTTACTGCTCGGCAGAGAGGGTTGAATTCAGTTCAGATCCAGGAGGAGGGTTCCAGGAGGGACTGATCTAGTCCAAATTGTTCAATTCTTTAGAGATGCTGTCTTCTCTAATCTGATGAAAGTATCTGTATAGTAAATTTTGTTTCCCACTTTTCTAACTGCTGGTGCTGCAGGTGTGACTACCATCCCAAACCATTGTGGCTTTTGGTTTTGTTTTCTTAGAACCCTATTCAATGTCTAGATAGCCAGGCTTAGATCACTTGAATGGAAACCATTCAAGTTTTGCCTAGATAACAATTGCCAAGCTACTAAAACATATGTGAACTGCTGAGCTTACAAGTAATATCAAAATCAGATTTTATATTCACACAAAGGGAACAAATTAAAAATTTTTAACAATGACTTACAAAAGAAGTCTCAAAGACTTTGGTGAAATCTCTTTATAAGTCTTTGAAGTTCAGGGACCACTATTGAGTAATTTCTAAGTAATAAAAGAAATACAGGAAAAAATTGATCTCAGGGCTAATTCCAGAAGCTAGGCACTAAGCATGTTTCCAGTGTGCAGACAGGAAGTAGTGAGAAGAACCCTCTGAAATAAATTAAGAGTGATGGTTAGCAGAAACTGAGGTATTTGCATTTAACAAATAAATATAAGACAGCATGACAGTGAAGTTTGAGGAGCCCACATGAAGTTTAGGATCACTGTCATTTTGAAGGCTCCATGTTAGAGATTACTGTAACGTGACTCAAAGTTCAACATTGAATGTCTGAAGGAGTTGACCCTAGTTAAGGAACTTTTAGGTATTCGTCCCTCCTTTTTGCACCTGTTCAGTTTAGGGAGTTGAAATTTAGAATGCTGCAATGAAGAGTTTTTAAGTTAATGATGAGAGAGGTGGTTTAAGCGAAGCTTTCTTTCCTCAAAGTCAGGGTGTCTGAAGGAAGCAGTTGCTGCTGGGTATTAAGAGCTCTGATTGCAGGGGCTGGAGCAACCCCGTAACTCCAGCTTTGGCCAGGTCCTCTGCTGACACTGCCCTTGTGTGGGCATGCTCACACAAAATTAGATAGATAGATAGATAGATAGATAGATAGATAGATAGATAGATAG